TAAAAATAAGTAAAAGCATATAAATTTAAAATTCTGCTTAACAATCAATGTTTCAGTGCTTTTTTTCCTAGAAAATTTCCAGGTGACCAAAAAGTATTTATCCATTAATTTAATTACTATCAATTCAGGTATTTCAAGTTACCAAGGCTCTTGGAAATACAAGTACCGTTGATATAAAATTTGTTAGAATAATAAATCAACTGCGTAGAACACAAGTTTATATTTTTATAATCTTAAATATTATGTAAAGATAATGTTGGCTTATTTGAAAGTAAAACAAGATGAGAAGTATGAGAAGTATAGGAAATTCAGATTAACTAGTTTCTTTACAAAAAGCAAATCCAGATCTTATGAAAAATAGAACGTATACTTGTATTATATTTACTATAGGGCAGAGAAAACACAAATATTATTTATCTTTCATAAACCAGTCTAATTTGTCCAAAGATTCTCCTTAATTATATGAACCTGGCTCCTTAAAAGTTTTCTGAGCTAGCAGTTTCTTATAAAAATGAATTTTTTTTGTAAGCCCAGCACATTTAAAGCATTAGAAGTTCAGTTTCTTTATTTTCTGTGACTTTGGGGGCCATTAGATTTATATAAGCCCTTATTTGTCTCTACAAATCAATCCACACAGAACCCCTGTGAGGGACTCTAAGTTATCCATATCCAGATACAGGAAAATATTCACACTCACAATAAGAGGTAAGGGCCTTTTTGAATTACAGACACACAGACATACAGACAGAGAGAGTGTCTGGCTTCGTTTCTACAACTCCAGCCACAGGTCAAAAGTAAACACAGAAACACAAACACTCCCCAGTCCAGATTTCAAAGAGCTGTTCTTCCCAGTGGACACAAAATTCTTAACCGATCTGAGGTCACACATAGAAAAACAAACACCACCACCACCAACAAAAGATTAGCAAACCGTATTTTCCGTTGTCTCTCAACTGACAGACACTACGTCTCCAACACACATGCCGGGGAGATCACACAACGGTCAGTCCATACAGTGGAATTCCCCATCCCGGCTGCCGCCACAACCAGAAACAGAAAATCAGCAAAAGCAGAAACAAAAACTAGAGAAACAGAATCAGCAGACTTAAAGTTCTATCACATGTGGGATTCCTTTCAAGAGCCAAGAAAATAAGTGCCTGACCTCCTAGAACCCGTTTGGGGCTCTTTTCCGGCAACACAGTTCACTGGGTTCTGACAGCTGAGTCCAGTGGGGCATCTCTGGGGAACGCCCAAAACTATTAAAATAGAATTTCCAAAAAGGTAAAATCATGACCTTTAGGCAAAAATAAAATGAATCTATATCAAAAATTTTATTTAACTAATTAATGAGTTACGTTATGAATGGTTGAAAGAGCATTTAAAAAGCTCTAAGTAATTTAACCAAAAAAAGTTAGATGGCTGGGTTAGATTTTAAAAAGCTGGTTAATGTACAGCAGGTCATAAATCTTTGAGATTATCTGTTCCATCAGACAAAAATTATTTACATCTCTCCTGGACAAAAACCTGCAAGTTAGCATATGACTTCATTTAGTCTGGAACCTCTAATCAGTCCTGTGAGATGAATTAAGTACCTTTATACAGAATCTAGAAGATGCTTGTGTGGCTTTTGCCCCTGTAAAATACTGAAAGGATGTGCTGTCCATGTTTTGGAGTTATTTTCAAGTTCCAGATAATTTTTGAATACTGATAAACACATTCTGGGGAGAATTTGCTACTATCCTCTATTAGAGTCCTAAAGGGATGAGACACGGAACAGATAAGTTTTGATGTTGGCTGGAGTAGGGGAAAAGAAGTGGAGGAAGTTCAAGGCTCTGCTGAGAGGGTGGCCTTGGATAGGGTCTGGGAGCCTCAAGGGTCAGCCTTGAAGTCAAGTTGTGGATGGGACTCCAAAAATGGGGAGAGGGGAGGAGGGGTGACTGAAGACAAATACCTCTCCTTTTTTTTTCACCTTTCCTTTTTTGAGGGTGGCCCAGCACCTTCCCCAGTGGAAACAGCATCCAACTTACTTCTTCATTGCAGGTGGCCAAGTTCAGCTTCCTGGGCAGGGAGGAGGAACTGGAGATGATCTTTGACTGGGTGGATATGGAGCGGAAGGGACATCTCTCCCTTGAAGAATTCAGCTCTGGGCTCAGTATGTCTGTTTTGAAGGGGCCTCTGGGGGGGTGTTCCCAGTACGGGGTGAGGCTGGGCAGACAAGAAAGGCCATAGTGATACCCTATAAACCACAGGACCATCACAACACCCCTGAGAGCAGTTCAGGGAGTGGATGATAATACAAACTACTGTGGAGATAAGGACACTAAGTGTGGGTGGGAAGACAGCTGGTTTGAGGCAGAACTGGGTCTTAAGATTCTAGCCGAGTAGACCTGCTCACTTCCTTTCCACCAGTGAGAGCAGTTCGTTGGCCAGGGGCCCCCATGAGCATTTCTTTCCTCCAGAAAGGCCTCCAGGCTTGCCTTCTGATACTTCCCTTGTCTTCTCCCCAATAAAAGGCTTCCCTTGAGCAAGAGGTTAAGCACCCCTGTTCTTGAGATGAGGGGACTTGTTTTTGCCTGAGGAAGTTCACATTCTGGTTTTGGTTAAAGGAATTCGAGGCCCCAAGGGAGCAGCAGGGGGTGATATGTAGTGGGTGGAAGCTTCCCAGGCTCTTAGCCCCCAGTGGGCCGGTTGCTCCAACACCGCTTCTCAAGACAGACCCAAATGGATCTAAAGACACCAAGGGCGGAGACACATAATCCCTGCTGAGCTCAGTGGGGGAAGAAGCACTTCCAGCCCAGGGAATGGCAGAAGTGGTGTCCTTGCAGAGACCCTGAAAAGCACAGCTCAGCCTTAAATGCCTGCAAAGTTCTCAGGTCTGCTGAGTCTCCAAGAGTTTGGGGGACAATAGAGAGAGAGGCCAGGAGTCTGCATTTACAGGCTGGGGCCACCCCAGGAGGTGGTTGCTTTGGTTCTGGTGATTGAGAAGCTGGGAGTAGGGAGGGGGAATGAGGACCCAGAATTGTGGAGTGGGGGAAGCAGAGGAAGCAGTGTTGTCAATGCAGCCCCAAGAAGCCACCTTCCCATCTGTATCCAGTCGTGCCCAGAGACTTCCCAATGTCTATGGAACAAAATTCAAACCCCTTCCCAGGGCCTACAGGCCAGCACCATCCCGATTCTGACAACCTCTTGGGCTTACTCAGTACCACTCGCCTCCTCCAGCATGCCAATCTGGCTCCTACCTCAGGGCCTTTCCATGTGTTATCCTTTCTGCCTGGAATATGCTTCCCTAGAAATTCACATGGCTTATTCCTTCTTCTTCTTCACATTTCAGTTTCACTGTCACTTCCTCAGGACATTCCTGACCACCTCCTCCAAAGTAGACCCTGTCCAGCCTCTCAATGGAAATTACCCTGTTTATTCTTTTAGCTCACCTGACAAATTTTTTATTTTTAATGTGCCCTTTTCAGTGTTCATAAAGTGTCAGATCCACCAGGGAAGGAGTTTGGGCCAATTTTGTCCCCAGCTTATAGTAGATGCTCAATAACTATCCCTTGACTGAGTTAAAAGAATGTGTTGGCCACCATGGAACTGCTATATGACTTCCAGCAAGTCTTTTGGCCTCTCTGGGCCTCAGATGTTCATCTATAAAATGGGTACAGTGTCTACCTTAAGTAAACTCCCAAGGTTGATGTGAGGAATGTATGACCATGGCTCTGTAAGTGTGACTGACAGTTACAATGATTTCCCAAGGGCTGGAGCAGGGCAAGGGGGTAGGTCAGGGGACTGAGCCCATCTCCACTCTGCTCCCTTCTGTCCCACTCTGTTCCACAGAGAACATCTTTGGCTCCAGCTCGAGCACCCACAGGCTACACAGACAGAGGCCACTTCCTTCCAAGCGAGAATCTGTAGCCACCAGCTTCCCAGTGCTGGAGGAGGCTGATGCTGCGGAGAAGGAGGCATTCTCTGCTTTCATGGAGCAGCTGGGGGCCAGCCACTTACTTCCTGAGTAAGGCCAGCACGGTGTGTGTTGGGGTGGGGGAAAGGAACAGGGGGAGGCACCGCCATTCAGAGGGGGCGAGGACTCTCCTGGACACAATGTCAAGATGGAAGCCACCAGGTAGAGATGCGTGCAAATCCTGATTCGGCCACTTGTTAGCTGTGTGACTGCAGGCAGGTAGCCCAACCTCTGACCTCTGTTTCCCTGGCTGCTGCGTGAGCATAAGAGCTGCTGTGGGATTAAATGAAGCCATGTGTGGAGAAAACCTTCTCACCAGGGGTCCGTCCACCCCAACCCCTCCCTCCCTGCCCTGCCCTACATGATCACTCCTCAGAAGGATCAGCTTCCCAAGGGGACTCACATTCTTAAAAATATGAAGCTCCCTGAGGGTGCTTCTCTTAACCCAAAAAGAGGGTCCCCCAGTGGAGTGATTTCAGGCATGTTGATGCTCTATATTGGGCAGGCTTAGAGACAGGGGGGCATTTCCACCAAATTGTCTCAGGCTCTGGGCTCTTGCGGTTCACTCAGACTCAGAGAAAGGGGGCCCTGCCTAAAAATGTCGCTCTCATATCCCCCAGGTCCCACAGGGAATCACCCTTGTCCATCTGCCCAGGTTCTCCCAGGTTCGCCTGCCCCTCAGGGCTCTGAGAACAAGCTCTCAGAGGGTGGGGCAGGTGTTGTGGGGCAGGCAGGGTGGGACTTGGGGTGCAGGCTGGCGGGGAAGGTGTGGTGGGGAGTGATTTACCCACTTGGCAGGCTAGCCTGGGCTCAGCCCTCAGGCATCTGTCTTCATGTCTTAATTAGATTCTTGTGAAAGCAGCATTTATCGAGTGCTGACCATGTGCTAGGCCCCAAGCCGGTGTTTTCACTGGGTGTGTCTCCTTCTCAAGCAGCCATTTTACAAATAAGCTCAGAGAGGGCATGGGACTTGCTAAATATCACACAGCTACAGAGTAGGAGAACAGAGAAAGTGAATGGAAGCCCTGGGCTATCAGACTTCCAAGTCCCCCCACCTGACAATGAATAACCAAACTGTAGAGAGACAAATTGCTATGGGGCTTTCACAAAGGGAAAGGACACAGCTGGGAAAGTTTCCTGGAGGAGGTGGCATTTGATTTACACATTGTAGGATATAAATAGATACTTGTGGCCCACAAATATCTTGGGGTGTTGCCATTAAAACTGAGGAGTGGGGCTCCTCCTCCTCCTGGTCCCACCACATGGCTAGTCTCTGGCTGTCTCTCCCTCCCAGGCAGGCGGAAATCTGGCAGCTGTGGAGGAAGCTGCGACAGGAGGAGCCCCAGCTGGCGGGCAACCTGGAGGGCTTTCTAGCCAAGATGACCGGCCGCCTGCAGGAGGCACGGGCTGACAAGGAGGTTCTGGAACTGACCCTGAGGAAGTGAGTTGGGGCCAGAGGGCCACCCCCAGCCGCTGTCGGCACACAGTGGGTGCTCTTTACATTTTAGTTGAATCTCTATTGAATTCCCTCAGCTCCAGAAGAACCGAGGCCAGGCGTCCACAGCGGAGCCTGGAAACTGGCCGGGCAGCGTTGAGCTGGAAAAAGGGTTGACTAAGGGGACCTACTGTGGAGGACAGAGTTAGGCCTTCAACAAAAGTGGGAACGGCCAGCGTGTCTTGATGCAGGGCCACTGTGGCACCCAACTCCAGGGCACCACTCACGTAGCTTTCAATTCACGTGGTAACCCTGGGGTTGGCATAGGCACAGCCCAGCCAGGGAGTCTGAGTTATGGGGGTAGGAGGATGGTGAAGGCAGGAATTGGGAACAGAGTGATGTGACTATGGGGACCATGAGACGGGGCCACAGGAACCACTATCCTGCTGATGGTTATAGGAGTCAGCGTGCTGGGACCAGGCAATCAATGTCAAGGACATATGTGTCAGGGAGCTCTTACTGGGATGACTGTTCTCAGGGTGACAGGGCTCTGTGACCGCTGGCAGAGTGAGGTGAGTAGCAGGATAGACTCCAAACCCTGGCCCAGACCACCCCTGTCAACAGCAGGGTCCCAGGGTGCTGATGTGGTGCCTGGCCCCACCTCCCACCCCTTCCAGGCGGGACTCTGACCACCATCGCGAGGTTCAGCAACTCTACGAGGAAATGGAGCAGCAGATCCAGTGGGAGAAGCAGCAGCTGCAGGCTGAGGTGGGCTTCCACCCCTAGGCAGCTCACCCTCCCCTAGCCCTGGACTCCTCTGCTGGCTAAGCAGTGGGCCAGCAACTGGCCAGTGTGGGGCAGCAGGAGGCTGCTGGGAATGGATCTTCTCACACCTCTGAGCTCCGTTCCTCAGAGAGATGGGGTGGGGAGTGCTGAGCCCAGGTGCCCTGCCTGGTCTCATGTGTCCCCCAGAGCCACCCCTTCTGTTCTCTGGGCCTCAGGCTTCTTGTTGCTAGAGTCTAGCCCTGAGTCAAGAAAGTTGTCCTGCAACCCCTCCTGGCTGGGACATCCTGGACCCTGCACCCCAGGCCTGGGAGGAGGTGAAGTGTGGGAAGGGCCAGCCCAGTCCAGCTGGGTCTTAGATTCTGCCGTTCAGGGCCTGAGACCTCTCTGCTCCCCAGAGTGACTCCCGGGGCCTGGCCCTCAGCTCCCAGATGCAGGAGGTACTGGAGGCCAAAGAACGTGAGGTGCAGCGGCTGACTGAGGGCCAGAAGGAGGTGAGTGACAGGGCTTCCCTGGGAGCCCAGTTTCTGAGGATTCACTGGGCTGGTTGGGCTCCTGTATCAGAGTAGCACCCTAGGAAAGAGATGTCTTGGTCCTTTTCTGAGATGAGGCCAGATAGTGCAGTGGAAGCACTGGGACATGAGCCAGAAGGTCCAAGTTCAAATCTTTGCAATTAAAAGCCATGCAAATCTGAGGAAATACCTTTGCTTGTCTTGGCTGTAGTTCCTCTGTCTGTAGAATGGGAATAGCCACATCTACTGCATCTTCCCAGCTTGTTGTGTCAAATGTGGTAATAAGTGAGAAAGCACTTTGAAACAGGAAAGCACTGAGGAAACACTCTGAATTCTCAATGTTGGAGAAGCTTGGTGATAGGGTGGTGTTCCACTCTCATTTCCATCATCAGCTGGGTGACCTTGGGCAGGTTTTTAACCTCTCTGAAACTTGATTTCCTCATCAGGGAAATGGAGATCAGAACTTTTGCCTTAGAAGGCTGCTGTGATGATTAAAGATACTATATTTGAGGGCCTAACATGATGCCTACCACATAGTAGGTACTTTGTACATCAAGGTTGTTACTGTCTCTGACTGTGATCTAGAATCATAGATCATAGTCTGCAGTCTGGTCAGCATACCTGCTGCCCCCACACCCCGGGTCTTGTAGGCTATGGTCTCTTCCACTTGGCATTGTGGCTAAGCCTTTGGGTCTGAGACCCTGCCCCAGTGTCTCTTCCTTCCTCAACTTCCAGACCACTGACCTTAGTAAAATCACCATCTGTTGTAACTGGGAAAACCAACATCTCTTCAGCACTGGACCAGTTTCCCAGGGCCTTCCCCACCATTGCCTTGGCTGGTCCCACCACCTGGTCTCACTCTCCTGACACGGGTTGATTTCCCAGGTGCCTCTGCAGAAGCTTCTCCTTGGAAATTGAGGCAGGCCCCTTCTGCCAAGGGAGGAGGTTAGATTTTCCATATGGGGCCATTTTGTCCCACCCCCTGTGGACATGAAGCCTCTGCCGCCTGGCCACTCATTCCTTTACCCAGCAACCATCTATGGTGCACCTACTATGTGCCAGGCAACTTTCTAGGTTCTGAGGAACATAACAGACACAAATAATCCCTGCTCATGGAGTTATTATGTAGTTACAGAAACAGGTGATAAACCAAATATGCAAGTAAAATCTATAACATATTAGGTAGTTAAAGTACTTAGGAGAATAAAGGAAAGCAGGGCAGGGGGATAGAAAGGTTTTGATAGGGGAGCCAAGGAAGACCTCACTGAGATGATGACCTTGAAGTAAAGATCTGAAAGAGGTGATGGGTGGGCCATGTGGTATCTGCGGAAAGAGCAGTCCAGGCAGAGGGAATAGTGAGTGCAAAGGCCCTGAGGTGGGCATGATGCCCTGTGAATGTTCAAGGACCAGCAAGGACACCTGTGGGCGAGAGCAGACTGCAGGAGCCAGGGCAGTGGGAGATCAGAGATGTAACAGGGGTGGGGTAGGGGAGACTGCAGGGTCCTGGAGCCTATTTTGAGGCCTTTACCTTCCATTCAGTATGGCCAAGCAGCTCTCCGTCTCTCAGCCGTGTGACCTGCTGGTGGATCAGGAGCTCCTTGCCAATCAGATGGGGCTCAGAGATGAGCAGCCACTGCAGAGCTTTGAGCAGAGGAAGGTGTGATCCCATTTACATTTCAGGCCCTTGTTGTGCTGGCAGTTTGTGTTTCTTGCACAGTTCCCTCTCTCTTCCCTATTCCAGCATTTCCAGTATCTCTTCTGGGTGGGAGGTAATGGAGCTAATTAGGCCAATAAGGGGCAATACTCCCCAAACCTACGTTTTAAGCTGAGTCTCCAGGAGCCTGAGTCAGCGCCCCACAATGGCCTTGGGAGGCTGTTTGTTCCCCTGGAGGGCAACTGGGCTTCTCTTCTCCTCATCCTCCACCTCCTGCAGCTGGAGGCCCAGCTCCACCGCCTCAGCAGCACACACCAGGAGGCCAGCTCGGAGAACCAGCAGCTTCGGGAGGCCGAGCGTGACCTGGCTGGGCAGCTGGAGGAGGTGCGGGGAAAGCTGCAGGTGACCAGGGGGCACCTGAATGCTGCCAGGGGCCGTGTGTCCTGGCAGATGGAGGAGGAACCGAGGCAAGTAGCTGCCATCCCTGGGCTAGGGTGGAGACCAGGTGCTTCCTGGAAGAGGGGAGGGAGGCTCTGAGTTCACCCAGAACATACAGACTCCCTCCTTAAACCTCACAACAACCTTGCTAGGCTAGGATTATCATGCCCATTTCTCAGACAAGGAAACAGAGAAGGGAAAGTCATCTGCCCAGGATCAAGTGACTGGGGTTCAAACATACACACACACACACACACACAGACACACACACACATGGGCTAGTGCAGTGCTAGATCCCTGGCAGGCATTCAATCTACTTGTCACAGGTCAGAGGAGTGGGATGGGCCAGAATGGTCAAGGAAGGCTTCCTGGAGGAGGTGAGGCTGAATATAGGCCTTGATGGATGAGCAGGATTGGGTGAGGGGGAGGAGTGGGTAGTGCACGCCAGGGGAGAAGAACTGCCAAAGAGAAGGCCAGAAGGGAGGGCTAGCCATGAGGTGTATACCCAATGGTGAGGGATGGAGGCAGGGTTGGTGTGGCATCTACCTGCCCCTCCCCTGACCTTAGCTTCCCACACTTGTTCTAGTATCCCCAGAGCAGGTGAGGAGAAGGCTTCAGACCCTCAGGCAGTCTCTTCTGAGGAGGCTCCCCTGCCGGGACTGTTTGGGGACAACGATGACTGGGACCAGCTCCTGAGCAGCATCAGCAGCACCCCCTACAGAGCCCTGCAGATCTCCTGGAGCCCACCCCCAACCCCGAGAGCCCCCTCAGGCCCCCAGACACCCCGAGTGGTCAGGCAGATCTCTATCTCGGAGCCACGTGCTTTTCTGTTTGGTCAGGAGCCACCTTCAGATCCAGATGGGGCTCCAAGGAGCCCCCCTGGAGTGACTTCCCGGACCAAGGAAGGGAAAGCAGGGGATCCAGATGGGCAGGACATCAGCCCAGGGCAGGACATCAGCCTGGAACCCAAGGAGGAGTCAGGACCTGGGCCTGGGGTCCACTTCCACTGGGGTCTCCCAGGAGCCCCAACTGGAGAGTCAGGGAGCCTGGTGGCAACTGCGCTTAAAGTGCTTATTCCTTTGGAGGATAGGCCCCCTCCTCCTGTGACCTCTCCCCCTCCCCAGGCCCCATCTGGGCCCAGAGAACAGTTCCAGGCCTTATACCCAGGCGATGAGGGTCCTGAGCTTGGGCCTGTCCCAGCCAAGCTGCCCAGGCAAAGAGAGGCCCTCCATCAGGACCCACACGCCACTGGCTCTGAGCCAGGACATGGGTCCCCAGGAGCTGGAGCCCTCATAGCAGGTCTGGCTGAACCCTCCCAGGGTCTGGAGCCTGTAGGTCAGACTCCCACAGAGAGATTGGAGCAGAGCAAGCCAGGCCCAGATGTGCAGGAGAGCCGTCCTGGGGGGCTACAAGGAGCTCATGGCCAGATCCTTGGGCCAGAAGGGCTGCCTGCCCTTGCCCACCAGGGTCTGGAAGAGGAGTCCAGGGTGGAAGAAAGTAAAGGAGTGGACCGAGGAGGGCAGGATCTCAGTTCAGAGCTATCCACTGAGGCTCTTGGCTTGAAAACTGGGCGTTCAGAACTCCCCCAGCAAGACTTCCTGCCTGCTTCCCTCCCACATGACCCAGCACAGGCTCAGGCCGAAGCAGAAACCCCTGCTCCTGGAAAACCATCACCTACAAGGGACTCTCCCTGCATTGGGGCTCAGCCTGGGGATGGAGCAGAGCCCTGGGAGCCCACACAAACCCTCCCAACCAGGGCTGAACTGGAAGCCCAACCCAGGCCCCCACCCACAACTGCTCACGCAGAAGAACAAGGTCCCCCTCAATCCAGAGAGCCGAGGGCAGAGAACTGGCCTAAAGACCCAGGAATGGACTCCAGGGGTGCTGGGCCAACCCCATTTCCAGGGGAGCACATGGCCAGTGAACCTCCTTCAGCCAACCCTGATTACGCCTTCCATGTCATCTTCCTGGGAGACTCAAACGTGGGCAAAACATCTTTCCTGCACCTGCTGCATCAGAACTCATTAGCTACTCAGCTGACGGCCACCGTAGGTAAGGACCCACCTGGGGAGGGAGGCGGGGGAGGGAGGGGGGACCCAGGGGACCAGGCTGACAGGCTGGAGCAGGCCCAGAGTGAGCCACAAGCCAACCCTGTGGAAGCTGTAGTTTCTGCCCTGGCCACAGGCCCTGCATTACACATTATTTTGCACATAATTTGGCTATTTTACTAATCATCTCTAATTACAGATAATTTGCTTTTTCTGCATTGATCTGATTAGCTTATAATGTGCCACATCAACAAAGCACCCTGCAATTTAGGTGCCGGCACTGGCTGAAGGTGAAAACAAGTAGGTCTCCACCCACCTGGCCCCTGGGCGGGCCACTGCAGGGTCCGTGCTGCTTGACTTTGCTCAGGACCAGCCCCAGGCCAGTCAGCCAGGTTCTGGCAGGAGGTCATGTTGGGCAAGTTGAACATTTTACACAGAATGTATTTGTAGAGTGGGGTAAGTTAGGAACACAGGTGCCTGAGTTCAAACCCCAGCTTGGCCACTTACTAGTGGTATTATTTAAGCCCTCTGAGCATAATGGGGGCACCAATAGTGCTGACTTCCTGGAGTGCTTGTAAGAATTAGTTCCGTTAGTACGTCTCAAGGTCTTAGAATAGTATCTGGCATGTATTAAGTGCTCAATTAATATTAGTTATTTTCATGGTTGTTATTAATATAAGTAAATATTTGATAATGTCTAATTCAGTGGCTCTTGCAAATAATATGTCCCAAAGTACAAAGCTTCCTCTCCCTAAAAATATTGGGATATGTGGCCACTTGAACACTGCATAGAGTCACAGAAAAGAGCTTGTGGGAATATCCCACTTTGGGGCAAAGATGGAGTGATCCGCATCTTTGTGTCTGTCAGGGTGGATGTTGACTGGGGAACAGTGCCAGACCAGTGGATAAAGTTCTTAAACTTTACATAAGATAGGTGCCTCCAGGACAAGTTCTCAAACTTTTCTCTGCCTGAGAATCCTCACCTGGGGAGCCAGGTAACAATGCGGTGTCCTGGGGGATGGGGGACCCATAGGAGTTCTGGCCTGAGGTTGAGCAGGATCACAGGGTCTGCAAGGCCACCATCATTAATCACCTAAGCTACTGGTTACAGACCACCTACAAGGTACCAGGCATACATGTCTTATTCTTTACAACAGCCCTCCCTGTAATTGAGCCTCTCCCACTATTATGTGGTAAGAAGACTCCCCAAAAGTCAGTTGAGAAAAAGACAGCTTGCATAATTGTAAAAAAGACAGGGCAAGGCTGCTGCACTACTAGCCGGCTGGAGGACCTGAGATCCAGGTGTGTGATCCAAATCTGTCCCAGGCTCACCTGCAGTTTACTGCCCCTGGTGGCTGTCATCCATCTTGCTCAACCATAGGGATGATTCTGGCTTCCACAGTCATGAACATTTCCCTGCTCAGCATCACCCTCCTCCATTCCCACTCCCCTCTCTTACCTGCCGGCATTTGAGAACAAGGCCAGGTGGAGGACCAGATCCAGAGCCAAAGGAGTTATATCTGAATGTGCATTTTTGTGAGGATTCTTCTATCTATCCCCATTTTACAGATTAGGAAAACAGAGAATTGAAGACCTGGTTAAGTTTCTTGCCCCACTTGAGTCCCAAAGTTCATACCCAGGGCCACCTGCCTTCAAAGCACATGACCCCACACCAGAAGTTTTATTCTTTCCTGGGTTCAGTGTTGCCCTCTCCCTGGGTTTGTGCATGTATAAAATAGCAGATTCTTTGGGAAGCAGAAAACATTACGTTCCTAATAGTTTATGTGGGTAAGCTGTAACATGTCTGGGGGAGGATGTGAGGGGAACATGGATGGGTTTCGGAGGGCGATAGGCAGGGAGGTGGAAAGTGGCATTAATAGGGGAGTTATTAAAAGCAAAGAATAATCCTTAGATCATATGGTGGGTATTTAAGCAGAGGCTGGATATCATCACAAGCAGTGGGATTAGATAACCTCAGAAGTTCCTGCAGACCCTGGGCTTCCTAAGACCTTCAGGGAAGAGGGCAGTAAAGAGAAATGGATGCTACAGACCTCTGCTTCACCATTTACCGAGGTCAGACCTCCTGGAGCTGCCACTTCTCCCAGCTTCCTGTGGACAGCACGGGCAGGGGGTGTCTATGGCTTCTGTCACCACCAGGGACAGCAGCAGATGCTTAGAGGGGTCACCATGAGAGACCTTGAGGAAGGTCTCTAGTAGCTCAGGGCTATTATGAAGAGCCACCTCTTTCCTGAGCTGGTCTGGGCCGTACAGTGCGCTCTGCAGCCTCAAGGCTCCATTAGCACAGGGGGTGGGCATGGGGACAAAGCAGCCCCCCTCCGGCACCTCATCCCCCACCTGGTTTCCTTGGGAAATGAGGGTTGGCACGAAGGTATACTCCAAAGAGTCCAAATCTTCCTGGGATTTCACTATTACCTCCATATTTCCAGGGACGGAAAGGATCTGAAATAATGACACAGGGAGGGATGGGGACTGCGAAATTTAAAGAACTTGTGTCCAGGGAGATGGGAATTCATAGTGATAATAAAAATTACCATCTCTCACTCCCCAGGCACTCGGCTGACTCCTGACATAAGTCATTTAATCCTCCCAACCACCCAGTGATGTGAGTCATTTTAAATTGCCACCTTGCAGATAAGGAAGGCAGGCTCAGAGAGGTGAAGTGACTTGCCTGAGGTCACACAGACAGTACAGCAGCAGAGGCTGGATAACTCACAGCCCAGCTGGTCATCCTTGAAGCCAGTGCTTCTTCCACTCTCTCAGGCTACCTGTCTGCCCTGCTGTCTGGGTAAAGGGGGAAGATGCATGCAACAATTAGGAATGAAACAAGGAGTATTACAAAAATAAATAAAACTGATTTTCTTGAGTAGCCTGAGGAACAAACACTGCCATGCAATTGAGAAGACAGATATTTTCATAGAAGTAAAGACAATGCAAGGTGCCTCGCATTGGCTGTCAGGGCAGGAGTGCAGTGGGGGCTGGGTGGTCAGGGAAGGCTTCTTGGAGGATGTGGGCCCTTGAGTATGGATGGAATTTGGAGAGCAGAGGGGAAGCCCAGCAGCTGAAGGTTCCCGTCCCACCCTGGCTGGTACTGGGGACACGTATATATTTGGGCCGGCCTCAGCTAAAAGACCTGGGCAGTAACTTGAAAGTACGCCTGACCCTCTTCTATGTGTCCTAGGAGTGGATTTTCGGGTCAAAAACCTGATGGTGGACAACAAGTGCTTTGCGCTGCAGCTCTGGGACACGGCTGGCCAGGAGAGGTAATGGGTACAGTCGCCATTAGTGGCGTCAGAGACCCAGGCTTGAGCCTGGATTGCAGAGGGTGCAGCAGGCAGCCCCAGCCTTGAGGAGTCTAACACGGGCTAAGAGGCAACCAAGTGCAAATGCAAGTGCAGCTTCTATCCCTGAGGATTCAGGAGGTCAGAGACAGAGAGATGAGTCCAGTCCCAGTGGGGGGAGAAGGACACCAGACCTAGAGGTCCCCTCAGTCTGGCAGGGCACCTGTGAGGGCTGTCCCAACATGGCCCTCAGGGGACAGCTACCCAATTGCTGTCCTGAAAATACTGGCCTTCCACTTTCTAGTTAAGCAGTAGTCATTAAAACTGAAAAGACACATCTTCTATGGTCCAGCAGTTCTACTTCTAGAAACTCATCCTACCCGTAAACTCGTACATGACTATATTGTCAAAGGGACCAAGACTGTTCATAGCAACATCATTTATATTATGAAACACTGGAAACAATCTAAACATCATCAATGTTATGAAGCCACAAAAAAGACCGAGGACTCTCTTTATGTACAAATAAGGAAATAGCTCCAAGACATTGTATTAACTGGATAAAATAAAGTAAAGGCTACAGAGTATTAATGAGTACAGTGTTTTACACTGTATTTGCTCAAACAGTGTATGGGTATATATATACGTGTGTGTGTGTAAGCATATATACATATATGTATGTACATAAAACACCTCTGGGAAAATATTTCAGAAACGGGTAACTCTGCCTCTGGGAGGCAGACTGGATGGCTGCAGGGTGAGGGTAGGGTCGACAGGGAGAGACTTTTCACTGGGTGCCCTTTGGAACCTTTTGAAATCTGAGCAATGAGAACTGTTACCTATCCAACAATAAACACACTCTGAGAAGGAAAGTATGTGCACACTCTCTTTGGGAAGCAATTAGAAGCAGGTGGAGTGGCTGAGGCCTAGAGAGGCCAGGCCTGGGGCCAGGCCGCCTGCAGTGGCCTTACGCAGACTCTCCGGGCAGGTACCACAGCATGACGCGGCAGCTGCTCCGCAAAGCTGACGGAGTGGTGCTCATGTACGATGTCACCTCCCAGGAGAGCTTTGCCCATGTGCGCTACTGGCTGGACTGTCTCCAGGTGAGTTAATGGCTGCTAGGGTTATAGCTTTTTGGAGTCAAGAGGGAACTTGTATCCTGTTCCCTCCCTTTTTTCTCCCAGGATTACAAATGACACTACAGACATGTGGGTGACATAATCTAGTGAGGGCAGTTGGCTGGATGGGCTGGAAGCATAGTGGTACAAAGAAACCACAACCACATAGTACTCCCTCCAAAACAAACTCTTTCCTTTATCCTATAACCATTTCTTTCCTATATACAGAAGCTCTGTGATGTCTTCTTAACACCTGGGGATAATGCAATTCTAGTGCCACTCTAGGTGATAATTTCTCTGTCCACACATCTCTAGTTCTTTCCCCTATGTACTTAATTGATATGTATATGCTGAAGTTCTGCAGTATGTCCCAGCACAGCAGAGGGGTATAAAATAACATGTTGTTTTCCCTCTAGAAGTTTCTAGTCTATTTGAAGAGATGCAAAAGCAGCAGGATAAGGTAATATACGAAAGCAGCTGGGCTCTGGGTTCTAACCGGACCTAGGTTTGAATCCTAGTTACCCCATCCCAATTCTGTGACTTAGGACAAGTGACTTAACCCCTCTGAACTTCAATTTCCTGACTTCCTTCACAGAGGAATTGTGAGGATTAACTGAATATAATTGCTCTCACCACAGCACCTGGTATATAGTAAACACTCAGTAAACAGAAGCTATTATTATTCATGAAACACAAAAGAAGCCAAGGCAGCATGTGTGATCAAGTGCTGGGCTGTTCAGCACAAGCAGGATGAGAAAGGCATGGACAGGAGCAATCCAGGAAGGTGTCCTGGGGGAGGTGCTTTGCAGGTTGGCCTTGGAAAGCGGGTGACATATTTGCAGGCAAAGAGGAGGGGCAGGTTCACTGCAGATGGAAGAGAAAGTGTCAAAGGCGGGAAGAGTGTGGAGTGGGCGTGATAACAAAGGTGGGCATGTGTGGAGGGAGGCTGCACACTGTCAGCTTCCTAGAGGGCGGGGCCAAATCCACCCAGGGCCTGGCACACAGCAGGTGCTCAACATGTGTGGCTGAGGGAATGTGTTCTGTGTGCAGGATACAGTGTCCGATGGGGTGGTCATCCTTCTCCTGGGAAACAAGATGGACTGTAAGGAGGAGCGGCAAGTGTCCACTGAGGCTGGGCAGCAACTGGCCCAGGTGAGGACCTGGGCATTGGCTCCTTTCCAAGCCTGAACAGGGCAGACCCCTCCCTGGAGAGTAGTGAGTAGGTTACCCTGGCCCGGGCCACCAAGAAGGACCCATCGCCCATTTCTGACCCTGCCCAATCAAAGGCCAGATTGGAGTAGACAACAGCCTCCCACCCACCTGGGCTTTAGACCCAAACATCAGGCTGTAATGGTGGGCATGACATTGAATCTCACTGTTGAAATAGCAAATCCCCACAGTGTCCCAACCTACTTTAAAAAAAATCTTCAGAGTAAAAAGGTTTTCAAAGCTTCACTTAAAATTCCCTGTCAAATCTTAATTTATCTCTGGTCTCTAATTAACATAACATTCCTTCTAATTTATTCTATCTTAAGACACAAATTCTTCCCTGTAAAGACTGCATCAAAAGCCCTACCACCAGACAGTGGATGCTACTTATTCATGAATAGAATTCAGCCACATTCCAGAAAATCTGGAGAATAATAAAGATGGAAAAAAGAATCACTCCCTGACCCACCTCTGACACCACCCCTCTTGGCATTTCCGTATCATATTTCCTTCCCGTTCTTCCTCTCATTTCTCCTACTCATGAAGTCATCACTGTGGTTCCTGGTTGGCAGGAATTTTTTCCTCTTAAAAGTAGTAGCTCATCTCTTTGACATAGTAATTCCTCCTCTAGCAACTTATCCTAAAGAAAGAATCAGAAATAATCCCTAAGAGAATAACATAATGGGCACCCGTGTATAATGTATAATCAAATGCATTTATATGAGGATGTTCTTTACTTTGTCATTTATAAGAACAAACATTTGGCAGCAGTTGATGGTTAATTTGTGGAGCTTCATGTGAGAGGCTAGCATTTGCCATTAAGAATACTGTCCTGGAAGAATGCTTAAGGGTGTGGAGGAAATGTATACAATGTAATGTGAAGTCAGAAAAGCAGCTGCAGTTCTGGATATAGATTAGGTTGAACCATATGAGATTGCAGATATTTGACTGTTTGGCACCTATCAAAACAGCAATTTCGTATTGTTTCACCTAATAGTATAATGCCATTTAGCCCAGCCCCCACTAAAAGGGCTGTATAAAACAGAATGGAAATACATACTCAAACGTTAGTGAGAGTAGTTTATACTTTGTACTTATACTTTTTTATGTTTTATTTTCCAATATTTCCCCCAACTAAATATTTTTGAAATCAAAAAAACACAACTAATGGTCTAACAATGTCCTCAAGGACATTTCTCCAAGTTAGGACACAGGCTTCCCACCGTCACTCTGAAGCTGTAGAGTGTTTCCGGGTAGCACCTTTGACATCTTGGCTAGCTAGGGTGGAGGGCCAGTGGGCAGAGGGGCGAGGCTGGGGACCATGGGCCACAAGCAGAGGGACTTCTCACCTGTTGAGGTTGGCCTGGGGACATACTGAGATTCTGTCTGATGGCCCAGTCTTTGGTGACAGAGGCTGCTGCCTGGACTCTCAGTGGTCTCCCCCACAACACCCCTACCCCTGTCTGTCTGGCTGCAGGAGCTGGGGGTCTCCTTTGGAGAGTGCAGTGCTGCCCTGGGTCACAACATCCTGGAGCCCGTGGTGAATCTGGCCCGGTGAGTGCCACCCTACCACTCCCCACCCAGAACCCAGGAGGGAAAGCCCCAGTCTGAGGAAGCACCTATGAAATCACAGGGCTCAGAAGTCAGTGGAACGAGAGACAGCAATGCATGGAAAGCCTCCTGATTTCAGTTCTACCAGTCCCATCAGCTGCATCACCTCCAGGAAGTCTCATGTCCCCTCTCTGAGCCTCAGTGCAGTGGGAGAGCAAGAGTTACTCTCCTGCTCCCAACCTTCTGGTGACTTCCACTGTATTTAGAATAAAGTCCAAAAGCCTGGCAGAGGCCTGTATTAGCTCCAGTGCCATCTCCCCTGCCCCTCCCATAAACTTCAGCCAATTGGAGGGGCCTTCCCTGACCACACCCCCCTCCATCACTGTTCTGGATCACATCCTCTTTTTGTGTGCTTCAAAGTCCTTCTCCACAAATTGTAATTACACATGCATTTCTCTGTTTTCTAGTTGCTGCCTACCTCCCCTACCAGGCTGTAGCTCCAGGGGGACAGGGCCATGTCCCTTTTGTTCAGCCCTCTGCCTGGGGCCTGGCATATACTAGGTGCTCAATAAATGAATGAAATGAGTGAGGGGGAGAGGGTATTAGGCCAGATAATCTCTAAGTCCCTTCTCTGACAAAGCAGCTAGAGTGAGCTTGCTAAACTGCAAACCTGATCACACCTGACACCTCTGACAGGCAACTGCTCAATGGCTTCCCTTTGCTTTAGGATAAAAGCCCCAGTTCCTGAATGCGGCTTCCTGGCCCATGAGCCCTGAATCCTTGCTGCCTCGAAGCCTTCTTTCTGGCCATTCAGTCCTTAGGCTCCGTGATTTAGGACAGTGTCAAGTACAGAGTAGATATATTGCGAACGAATGAATGAATGAATGGGCTTCTTTTTCTTCCCTAACCCCCAAGCTCCTTCTTGACACTGAGCCTTTGCTGGCTTCCCAGAACGCAGTCTCCTTTTCTGCTAGCGAACCCTTGTCCACGCTCGGTCTCAGCTCCAACACTATCTCCTTCCTCCCCAAATCCCTCTGGGACCTGGTGTGAAGTCCCTCTGTGTGCCTCCCCGTTCCTGGTCCTGATTGCCCCCTTCCCCTCTCTGTCTCCCTCACCACTCAAGGCGAGGACATGCTGGCTTCATTGCCATAATCAAAGTCCCTTGCCTGGCACACAGTAGGCTGGAGAGAATGCCAGACAAGAGACAGAAGGCTGAAGTCTCCATGGCCCCATTTTTCTTGTGCCATGTGGAATGCAGAGCAGGGGCAGAGCAGCAGAGAGAGAGGAAACTCGGGGGTGCAGTCCCCTAGCTGCACCCTTGGACCTCTCCTTGCTGCCCCTGGGAGGTGAGAGAGAGGCCTGATGCCTGGGCATCTTCATGCAGGTCACTCAAGATGCAAGAAGACCAACTAAAGGGCTCACTGGTGGAGGTGGCCCCCGAGAAGCCACCAAAGAGAGCTGGTTGCTGCTCCTGACCACCTGGCCTGTCCGGGGTAGAATGGCCACTTCCCTGGGTTTCCTGTTCCCACCTGCCTGGACACAGCAGTGACAGAGATGGCCAGCTTGGAAGTTCAGGAAAATCCTCCTCAGGTCAGGACTTGGCTCCCAGGCAGGGGCTGTACTAACACTGCCCTTTGTACTTCAAAGAAGGACTTTTCTGAATAATAAGGCTGGGGAGTGGAGGTGGGGGCAGTTAAAACTCTTTAAAGAAAGGGAAAGTCTAGAAAAATGACTTAAGGAAAACACACCACAACACTGGCAAAACATCTCTGGGTGGTAACATTATAGGGTAAATGTATAGGGGTGGTATTTTCCTTTTTATATGTATTTGTATTTTCAAATCTTCTACACTGACTGAGTGTTCCCCATACAGTCAGAAATAAGAGTAAATGTTGAGGGGAGGGAAAGAAACTTCAAAGAGCTTGCTTTGGTGCTGATTACCAATTGATATAGCCTGTTTATTAAAGCCGTCCTATTGTTCCATGCCTGGCAAAGCTGGTGAATCTTGTCTCATTCACTGTATCTGTTTGCAAGCATGGGGTTTCTTTCGAGCAGAATCTGATTCCTGGGGAAGAGCAATGTTCTGATGGTCCCTGCTATGCCCCATTCCCCCCATCTCCCTGAGCCCCGACCACACTCTCCCCAAAAATCTGCCTGTAAGGGGTCATATCTGGGGATCTCATCCCCTGCCTCCACGCCACGGTGCCCCTATGGGGACCTCTGTCTTGAGGTGTCAATCTCTGGATGCAGTCGAGGTGCAGCTGGGGTGTGGCTGGTGGGGCCTGGGGAGCAGCAGGGGAAACTGATTCAGGTTATTCATGGGTTCCTCTTTGGAGCTTGTGTGAGAGTTCCCAGAATTGCACATTTGCCTCCTGACAGGTAGCTGCACATTACAACCTGGGGCCGGGATTGTCAGTGCCCTGGGGGAGCTTGCTGTGAGAGTCTAAGACGGCCTCTCAGTGTTAGCCTATCTCCTGTCATCTGTGTTTGCTGTCTCATCTTACCGTTAACCACATAAGGCTCACCAGGTACTGCGGTCCAGCGTGGGCAGAGTGCTGAGTCTGGTACTTAGCAATCATTCGGGTTCTGGTGACTTCCTCAGTTGAATCAGAGGAAACCTCAGTTTCATAGAGAGACAAGCAAATACAGTTCAAGAGACAGGGGTTCAGAGAAAGAGAATGAAGGAAAAAGAGGAGAGCATGAGACAGAAGAAAGAGACCTCTTATCAGTTTAATCAGTCTCCACTCTTGGCCCCTATCCCTCTGCTCAGTTCTAAAAGGGATCAATAGCACTGAGTTTTCTGTCACTAGAGGCTTATAAGTAGAAGCCAGGTAACACTTGGCAAGAGGTGCAGTGGAGAAGATTCAGGTATCAGAAACCACCA